AGAGCGTAATTTGAGTGGTGCTGCTGCTGCTTATGACGGCTTCTATTCATCAACAGAATTAACAATGTGTTAAGATTTAATGGCAAACCAATATAAAATGACCTAGGTACCAGTCATTATATAAAACTGAATAAGCTAAAATAATAGTCTGAGACTGCCTATCTGGTCTCAAAGCAGTGGTTTTTCTTTTTGAGGGGCTTTCTGAGGTAAACATCATGTTTGTATTTCTTTATTAGAATAGAATGTATGAGCTGGAAGGGACCTTGGGGGCCTTCTAGTCCAGCTCCCTGCTCAAGCATACTATACTACTCATACTACTCAACCTATACTATTTCAGATAAGTGACTGTCTAGATTAGTTTCCAACCATTGTTTCTTGTCCTGCCTTCCGATGCTTTGGAGAACAATTTGACTCCTTCTTCTTTATGGCAGCCCCCCAAGTACTGGAATTATCAGTGGCGTGTTGGCCTCTTCTAATGATGTCTACGAATGGGATGAGACCAATGCAAGGATGAGCAAGTGCTGGCCTCCAAGTTCTCCTTTATGTGACCCAGGCTGTGATTCTTTATGCTTGCAAAGGTATAAACTTCCCTACAACCTCCACATGCTGGGAATTCTTGGCTTTTTTCTGCCTTTTTCAGAGCTTATCAGAGCAGGGAAAAAAAAATCACGACTTGCAGTCTTTACTCAGCAGCTATTCTGCTAACTGGAAATACACATCTATGGATGTATGCATTGCAGGCAGAACAAAATAGAACTCCATGCAGGGCAACACTTCAATTTAATCCCTAAAATAATGGAATCAAGGGAACTTAATCCACATTTATTTTCTTTTAATTCTCCCAACCTTTTGTGGTTGGAGCATTAATCTATTCTTACTTGATTAAAAGCTAGTCTGGGAAGATATTCCATTTCATTTTTGGATGGAAAACAACGATCTGTGGTGCTTTTTAAAGCTCACCTCAGAAGGGAATGTTCCTGCTCCTGACTCACTTCAGAATTTGATTTTCTCCAGCTTTGATGGTTTCTAATCATCACCTAGGCTGATACTGGTATATAGCACTGCTGAACTATTTCCTATGAGAAGTACTGTAGTTCCGCTGCCTATTTGTGATATTCCCCTGAATTTTAAGTTTCTACATCTTAAATCATAAAGAGACATTTTCAAACTCCTGCTATGAGTTTGCCTACAAACAATAAAAAGAATTTGTGCAACTGCATGATTTCATTTCATTGTTTATTTATTGAAACCCTGGGTGAGAAAGATGCTACTAAATTTCATAATTTTATTCTATCAAACACAATTCAAAAGGATCTTTAAAGATTAAAATAAAGCTATTTCTTTAGAAATTAAAAATGGCAATAAACATTAAAATCATATTTAATGGAATGGGTGAGCTTGATTTCTTATGTGCAGATTTTTTTTAACTTCTGTATGTTATTTTTGAAGACAGCCATTCTCGTTCACTAAAGGAATGAGGGGGAAAAGATGAGAAAAAGAATCAACTTTTAAATGGCTCTTGAAATGCAGCTTGCTCAAAGCTACTGTGCAAAGATCAGAATCATGCAGGCCATGGTATTCCCTGTGATGCTCCATGGAAGTAGAAATTTAAAGACGCAGGATAAGACTATTGGTGCTTTTGAAGACTTCTGAGAATACTGTGGACAACCAAGAAAACAGACAGATCCTCTAACAAATAAACCCAGAGTTCTCACATGGGGACTGCTTGCTAAGCACGTGAAATGTGACCACATGACCATGGCAGGGGGTTGGCCATTGTAACTTTTTGGAGCCAGGTTGTAAGTACCTTTGGGGGGGCGGGAAGATCCATTGCTCACTATGTACCTGGTCATAAGTTGAGGGCTATCTGTAGCATTAATCATTTATATTTATATGGCTGCCCGTCTACAAAACTCTGGGACGTACAATAGTGAATTAAAAAGAAAACCCAATAAATATAAAAACCATCATCAAAAACTAAAAAAACACAAGCAGAAAGGATATTATTGTTCTAAGGGAGCTATTGCAGGATCTCTGGTCCCCTGGGATTCCTGGCCTTGTAGCAGAGCCAGGTCTTGAAGATTTTGTTGAATGTTGAAAGGGACAGAACTAACCTTGTGTTTGGGGTGGGAAGATTCCATAATGCAGGTGCTAAAGCAGAGAAGTCCCACTTCCTGGTACCCCTCAAGTATAATTCCCTAACAGATGGGATCTTCAGCAAATTGCAGCATGTCTTTTCTGCAGCTTCTGGTGGGACAAACAACTATAATTGGGGAACGGGTTGGTTCCTCAGATAACCTGGTTCCATGTAAGGGTTTAATAGTCAAAACCAGCAGGGTGAATTGGACCCAGAAGCACACTGGAAATGAATGTCCCATGCAGAGTAGAGATGTATTGTTACCTTTCTAGAGGAATACGTGCCAGGGGGTTGCATTTTGCATCAGGTGAAGTTTCCAGATACTCAGGGCAGAATTCATGTGGCGTGCATTACAGAAGTCCAAATAGGAGGTGACTATAGAGTATCAATGGCTATGAGCAGAGCTCCCTGACCCAGGAACGGGTGCAAAATGGCACACAACACAAAGCTATGCAAAGGCCCTGATAGCTGCGGCTGTTACCTGCTCTTCATGCAGGTATCGTGAGGACATGGGGACCCACAGAATGCACAGCAGGCCTGGCTGGAGCAGCGCAACCACATCCAGCACCAGAAGGTCCTAAAACTGGAAGATCCCAAAGCCACTCAGCCTTGCCAGGGTTCAGCTGAAAACTGTTCCCCCATCCAGATCTTCGCAGCCTTGTATCGGTGACAACAGGAAATATTTTTGTAATAAGGTAAATACTGAAGGACAATTGGCTTATCTTCTCGAAAATGAATATTTACACAGGGAAGCGGAGAGTCCTTGCATAAAAAGTATTTGAATGATGTTTTATGAATGACTGATATAAATAAAATTGTAGGCCCATTGTAATTTCAATAACCAACAGGTCGTAGACCAGGGGCCTCCAACCTTGGCAACTTTTAAGCCTAGTGGACTTCAACTCCCAGAGTTGAAGTCCACCGGGCTTAAAGTTGCCAAGATTGGAGACCCATCATAGACTGTCTATTCTATATAATTCCATATAAGGTATCTATGTGTGGATATATGTGTGCATATGTGTGTCTATTTCTTAATTTAATTATAAGCATAATTTTATTTAAATTATACCTGCAATTTTATTTTATTGCTTTAGATAAATGTCTTAAACCAGGGGTCCCCAAACTTGGCAACTTTAAGACTTGTGGACTTCAACTGCCAGAATTCTCCAGCCAGCTATACAGGCTGGAGAATTCTGGGAGTTGAAGTCCACAAGTCTTAAAAGTTGCCAAGTTTGGAGACCTCTGCCTTAAACAAAAACCCATTTCCGGAGTTCCTTCCATTTCAGAAAGGCGACAAAGTCAGTAAGTGAAGGAATGGTCAGTATCATGTGCAAAGTATTTTTAATATTTTTAGGTTGTTTTTTTTTAGTATTTATTTGTCAATCGCTTACAAGATACAGGTATAAGAATATAGTTTTGAATAGATGAGATAGATACTTATAAGAAAAATAAAAAACAATAGGACAGGGAATGTAGGCACGATTAGTGTGCTTATGCACACCCCCTACAGGCCTCTTAGGAAGGGGGTGAGGTCAATAGTAGACAGTCTAAGGTTAAAGTTTTGGGGGTTTGGGGAAGAAACCACAGAGTCAGGTAGTGTATTCCAGACATTGATGACTCTTTTGCTGAAGTAGTATTTCCTGCAATCAAGTTTGGTGTGATTAACCTTGAGTTTGTATCTGTTGTTTGCTCTTGTGTTGTTATGGTTGAAGTATTCATTGACAGGTAGGACATTGCAATGTATGATTTTATATACTATATTTAGATCGGACAGGAGGCGGCGTAGTTCTAGGTTTTCTAGGTCTAGAGTTTCAAGTCTGGTGGCATAAGGTATTCTACAATGAGTAGAGGAACGGAGAACTCTTCTTGTGAAATATTTCTGGACTTTTTCAATTGTGTTAATAGTATCAGATACATAATGCGGGTTCCAGACTGATGAGCTGTATTCGAGTATTGGTCTAGCAAATGTTTTGTATATTCTAGTTAGTAGTGTGATATTACCAGAGAAGAAGCTATGTAGGATTAGATTAACAACTCTTAATGCCTTTTTGGCTATGTAGTTACAGTGGGCTCTAGCACTTAGATCATTTGAGATTAGTACTCCAAGGTACTGATGGAGAAATTGACCTTTAGTCTTCTTGCCCAGATATTAAAACTAAAACCACTTTTCTTTGTTGGGAAAATTTTAGAGGAGGCCGCGGCTGAGGTTTTGTTCCCCTTTTAGGTTATCCCTCTTTTTCTTTGGTCCCAAAAGCAAGCCGCCACCACCCCGCCCGTTTCGAAGCCTGCCGACCGAAACTGGGCTTACGAAAGCGTAAATCCCTCAGCTCAGGATTCCCTCCTTTTTTCTCCCCTCTGACGTCAAAAGAGCCAACCAATCACGTGCATCCAACCCCGGGAAGCCAAAGCAGCCTCTCGGAGCCTGGTGAGTCGGAGGGGGGCGGGGCTTGCGCTCAGAGTCACGTGCCTGGAGGCGGAAACCTAGCGCGTGGCAGAAGCCCGTCGCCGGCGTTCTCTTTCCAACCGGAAGCTGCCCGCCGAACGCCGTCACCGCCGAAAGGAGGAGATGCTACGTATTTCCGGCGTGGAGGTGGCGGCTGTGGAGTGAGTGTGTGTGTGAGAGAGAGAGAGAGAGAAAAAGACTGACAGGAGGCTTCGCCGGGAAGCGAGGGAGGGAGAGTCGTTGCCGCCGCCGCCGCCGCCGCCACTGTCGTAAAGGCTTTCTCCGCTTGGCGAAAGGAGCCGCTGCTTGTCTGCGAGGAAGGTGAGGGAGAGGCGACGACCGATGGCTTTCGGCCTGAGCCGGCCGGTGGGCGGGTATAAACGAGCGGTCGCGGGGGGGGGGGGGGCGAGGCGGAAGGCGAGCAAGTGACACGCAGGCGAAATGAGGGTGGGGAGGCCGCCCTCCCCCCCCCCTTTCTCGGCGGATGGTTTCTCCCGTTCTTGAGACTCGACGGATCTGCTTCGGGGTTTCTTTGGGACCCGTCAGAGATTCCCGGCGCCCCTTTGTAATCCGGCCTCCCGGAGGGCTGTAATTCCGGCTCCCGTCGCCGTCTCGGGTTGGTGGGTGCTGATCCGATCCCCTGTGAAGAGGTGGGAAACCGGGATGGTGGTGGTGGTGGTGTTGGGGGGGGGGGGGGGGGGGGGGGGGGGGGGGGGTTGCCGCTTTCCGCTCTCCTGCGGCTGAATTGGGAGCGGCGACGACGACGACGACGATCTCGGTTCTTGGCTTTTGTCCGTTTCTCTTTCGGAGATGATCTTTCGCTTTCTTTAGAAATCGGAAAAGATCGAGAGTGAATCCCTTCTCCGTATGCTGGGATCTAATTACACTCACTACTGATTCCAAAATATAAAATTTGAGGGGGGGGGGGGTTGCTGGTCTGCCGTTTTTAATGGCTGTTTTCAATCTGGGCTCCTTTGTTTTGTCTTTTTTTGTTTTTAACTTTTTTTTAAGCTTAGCATTGAGGGTTTTTTTTGTAAGCCGCCCGGATTCTGCTGGAAGGGATGGCTCTAACTAGATCTATATCTATCTATCTATCTATCTTTCTATCTATCTATCTATCTATGAATGAAATAAATAGAATAAAAGGTGTCGATGTTTGAAAAACGGGGGGCAATAACAGGCTCCAAAAACCAATAGTCCAATAAGGTATTTCGTGCCTTCCTTGTTTTGGGGAAGGAGCAATTATATATATATAATTATATAATCTTTTTATTCTATTTATTTCTCTCTCACACACGCACATATCTATCTATATCTATATCTATCGATCTCTGTCTGTCTGTCTGTCTATCTATCCATGAAATAAATAGAATAAAAGGTGTCGATGTTTGCAAAACGGGGGCCAATAACAGGCTTCAAAAACCAATAGTCCAATAAAGCCTCTCCTGCCTTCCTTGTTTTGGGAAGGTGCAATGGTTGGGTAAGCAGATTTGGAAGCATCCATTTACTCTCTGCCACCCGCTGGGTTATGCAACTACTGGTAGTTGTTACCTGCTTTACAAGTTCATGTAACTGAAGTAGATTGGTCGCTTTTTTAACTCTTGATTTTGGCTTTACCCTTAAAGTGTCCCCATGCTGTGCCATTTGCAATGTATTCTTCTCTATTAAACCGGCTCTTCTGTTTAGTTGTGAGTGATTGGAAACACTGGATTTGTTGTGTGCCTGCCCAATTCTAAATTGATCTTTGGCAGAATAAGCTCCCCCCAATTTGGGCGAAAAGAGAAGAATGCAGTTTCTTTCATTAGCGCAAATTAAGAAATGGGTCATTGAGACATTTGTTAGAAGTGTGCAAAATCATTTCTAAAAACAAAAAGTCAGTTCTGTCTAGGCCTTCTAATCAAGTATGGTTAACTCCTTAAAGTTATTTAGAAATTTAATTATTTAGCAGTGTCAGTTTCTTAATTGAAAACAAAAACTCCCTGCTAAGAACTACATACTTAAGTACTTAGTTTCTTTCAAAATTACGTTTTAACTGTAGAAATCATTTTGGGAGCTGGATTAAGTCTGGGATTGATTTGGACAATTATATTAAAGAATTACATGCCTTATCAATATGTTTAATTCTTTAAAAAAGACAGAAAAGGCTGGTGAGAATTTTATTTAGAATTCAAAATGTAGAGACTATAGTAGGCTAATAATAAAACCTAGGGCTTTGGGCTAGTGTTCCCAACACCCTTCATTTTAATCAAATCATACTGTAAATTTTAAGAAGCTCCTGTAGATTATTTTTCTATACTGCTTTTCATTTCAGAAAAGCCTAGCATAGTTTATGAAAGAGCAGTAAACCAACCTTGAAAAAAATAAAGCAAACACTTTTTAGAAATAATAATATATTAATATAAAATCCATTTTTAAAAATTGGCATTTTAAGCCACTACATTATCCTGGGAAATATGTTATCCTGCTAATGTCTATGGGAGCAATGATGTTTTCAGGTTGTTGTTTTTTTAAAGAAAACCATGGGAGGATTACTCGAACATGTCATGAGAAACAAGTTCATAATTACAGGAACTGCCACTGAGGTCTTGCTTGACTACCATATTGTCAGCCAAGTGCACTGATGGCAGCACAAACAGTGTGATCTTCTATTAAAAGGTCATAGCTAAGATTATTGCCATCTTTTGCCAATTCTGTCCTTTCTCTGCTCAGAATAGAACTCAATTTCTGTTCATGTGAGGTTAGATATCGTAATCCTGTTGATACTGCATAGAATAACACTGACCCTATTTTGTAAGTGTGATTTGTTCCTGCTAACTTCAGAACTGAATTGCAATATTTACTGACAGGACTCGAACATAGAATTTCTATTGGCTCCTAGTTCATAGGTAAATGTTACAGTGTTTCCTTATGGCATTAAGACATTTAATTAAATATGCCTATTTTTTCCAGGTACATAATTCTTCCATTATGTCATTCTTGTTTGAATGGATCTATAATGGCTTCAGCAGCGTGCTGCAGTTCCTAGGTAAGACTTTAAATGTTTATCAATAAATAATTTTCAGGTGCTTATTTATTAACTTAAAAATGAGAGACTTTTAGATTGCTATAATAAGCCAATAATGCCTCCAGACAAAATGTTAATGTTGTAGTCAGGTGCCAGTTTTATCTTTTCAATTTTTTTGTATCATATCATTCTATAAATGATAGAATAATAAAGTCATTCTATAAGTGATCGAGATGCAAATTACCATCCCCGTAGTAGCTGCCCGCGTGATATATCCCACTGATGATATATCCCACTGACTGACTTGCTCCCTTGATCTTTCCTGTGCCTTTTCTCTCACCCTCCTGACACCAGAACATCATCGCATATCCTTTGTGCCTACTGGGTCCTTCCCATTTCCTTCATTGCCAGTGTCCAGTGCAGCACGCATAACTTCCATCCACAACTTCCCCACGTTTTCCCTTCCGAATACCTGCTGTAGGAGTCATGATGCAGATTGTATTCTCTGTTCACTTTGGGGAATAAGAATGCTCAATAGGCTTAATCCAATAAATAATTCATTTTACTTCATACATGCTGTTTTTTCACAGGATTGTACAAGAAGTCTGGAAAATTAGTTTTCTTGGGTTTGGATAATGCAGGCAAAACTACTCTTCTTCACATGCTAAAGGATGACCGATTGGGTCAACATGTTCCCACATTATATCCAAGTAAGCACCATATGGTTATGGATGGAATTGTTTATTAGTGTCATTTTAGAAGATTATTGTATGGTAATGTTGAAGGTTAGTATATTTTAAAAAATAAAGTTGCTTCACGTTTGCGCTTAATTGTTTTGAAAATGACTTTTAAATTTACTCCTAATCCCAGTATCTTCTGTGAGGCTTATTACCTGAAAAGGATAAGAGAGATTAGGCTCAAGATTATAATTCAGTGTGTTATATTAAATGCAAATATTACCTGTTACAGTTCATGAATTACATTTGAGTTAGAAGGAATTGGAAGATTCAATATATGATTTTCAGTAGATGACCTTTTAGAGTAGCTGAAGGCAATATGTGCCTTCCAGATGTTGATGAACTTCAGTTCCCACCTGTCCTAGCAAAAGTGATTGAATTATGGGAATTGCATTCCAACATCTGACCTGTCAAATTAACCTAAATCTATTTTAAGATCTTACACAGCTTCCTTCCTTCCATTGTTTATGGAAGTATCGGGTTTTAATTCCTAATCAGCATCATCTTCATCAGGAAGCTTGGAATTTTGGAGTTTCCTAAAAATATGCAATATTTATAGGGAGTCAGTTACCAAAGTAAGGTATGAAACCCTTTAAGCTGGGTGTGTTCAATCAGGGGTTAAATAGACATTTATTGAGGGTGCTCTACATGTATTCTTGCACTATGCAGATGTTGGATTCACTGGTTATATAAACCCTTCCAGTTCTTTAATTGAGTGAATATTTCTGAAGGGCATGAGGTTGGGGAAGGTTGACCTTAACATACCTTGAACAGTTTGTGCCTTATGGCAATAGACATTGTAAAGAGCATATCCACTGTTAACGGCTATAAAACACTTCTCTCTCCTCTAGCATCAGAAGAATTAACAATTGCAGGAATGACTTTCACCACTTTTGACCTTGGCGGCCATGAGCAAGGTAATCAGTATCGATGCTTGTTATTCTCTTATTCCTAGCTAATCTCTTATTCCTAGCTAATCTGAAAGTGTCCTTTATGGGGATAAAAGGTTCTACTAATGGAGATGGCATCTGATCACATTAAGAGGTCGCTGTGTCTCTGTGTTGGCCATATTTATTCTCACATTCATGAAGGTCACAAATAGGTTGTCTTCCTCTTACAGCAGGGACATGACAATATACATTGCTATATATTGGCTTTAAGGTAAAATAAGTGCGCACCAGTACAGGTAGTCCTTGACTTAACAATGGTTCATTTAGTGGCCATCCGAAGTTACAACAGCATTGAAAAAAGTGACATTACCATTTTTCACACTTAATGACCATTGCAGCATCCCCATGATCATGTGATAGACATTTGGATATTTGACAACTGACTCACATTTATGACAGTTGTCCCGGAGTCATGAGTTCCCCTTTTGCGACCTTCTGACAAGCAAAGTCAATGGGGAAATCAAATTCACTTAACGACCGTGTTACTAATTTAAGAACGGCAGTGATTCACTTAACAAACGGTGACAAAAGTCGTAAAATGGAGCAAAACTCACTTAACAAATTTCCTACTTAGCATCGTAACTTTTTGGCTCAATTGTGGTCATACCTGTATGCAAAAAAATCTCAAGTACTGTCTTAAGCTCACACATCAAACCACCTAGCTTAATTAGTAGAAGACGTAAGTGCAGTATAGGTTTGTGATATCAAGCTGGAACGTGAAAATAGCTAAGGATGCTCAAAATACATTTTTCATCCCTTTATTGCTGTTCGTGGTATGCCGTTGCTATATTTTCACAAGTGTTTTTCTTTCCCTTGAAGCGCGGCGTGTCTGGAAGAATTATTTCCCAGCAATTAATGGGATTGTCTTTTTAGTGGATTGCGCAGATCACCCTCGTCTTTTGGAATCTAAAGTGGAGCTCAATGTGGGTAACTTTCTCTTTTGAGTGCACTAGCACTAGTTGTAGTATTTATATATGCCTTTTCTGTCTTGGACAAGAAATTAATTTAAAATGTGCACCTATGAGCAAAAAGGAAACTACTAGTATGAATTTAGTATGAAAGCCAACTGGGTGACTTTGGAGCAGTCACGCTCTGTCAGCCCAACTCATCTCTCAGAGTTGTTGTGATGAGGAAAATAGCAGGACAGTGTATTAGTTCTGTTTGTCACCTTGAATTATTTATAAAAATAATAAAGGTGGAATGAAAAAAATCTTTAAAAAGCTGCCAAATATAAAGCCTTACTTATACATAATTTGGAATATGTTTCATAAATTTGAGTTGTAAGTTACATGCCACCATTATGCTATGTAGATTTACGAGGTCATGTTGTGACTCAAAATATTCCAAATACAATCAAAATGAAATATTATGTATGTATCTATTGTCTATTAATAGCATTTTCTAAATTGGGTTTGGAATTCCTATTTAAAATTATTCTATGATTATATAGTTGCAGATTTTCCCCTTTTTTCCCCTTAGGCATTAATGACTGATGAGACAATATCCAATGTGCCAATTCTTATCTTGGGTAACAAGATTGATCGACCAGAAGCTATCAGTGAGGAGAAACTGCGAGAGATTTTTGGTCTTTATGGACAGACAACAGGAAAGGTAAGGAATCAAAGCTTGGTTCTAAAATTAATGTACTTTATTTTTCAAAATATATTTTTCTGAATACTATTGTATATCAAGATCCTAATTTTGGCTCTTAAAATACCACTGAAACATAAGTAACAATTTATATTAGATACAAGTATGGCACAAATGAATTTATTAGATTAATGTAGAATAGCCTAGTTTTATACTTTTTTCTCTTTACAAATGAATGTTTTGTGTGGTTAGTTAATAAACAACATATTTAGTTTTTATAATTTGAGGTACCGCTCCTTGGAAGCCTGAATTGTTAACTTTGTGATTGTATGTTGATACATGGAGAATTTAAGCTAGAATCAAATGCAGTTAGGTATGACATTGGTATTTAAATGGATACAAGACAACTAAACGGATTGTGGACAGCATCACCAATAATAATAATAATTGGCATTGACCAATACCAATTGGGGCATAATCAGTTTTATACTTGTACTTTCCCTCGGAAGGGACTTCCATTAATTTAGCCTCCAGTGATATCCTGGGAATTAAAATATTCTCACGCTGTTTTTTGGAATATCCCAATTTTTGGAGTCTGATTAGTGTTTTTTCATTCTGTTTAGAGATTGTCTTGGGGTAAGCATAAGAATATTCTTCGATGATAGATAGAAAAAATGGTAGCATATGCCCTTTACTATAGGCTTAAATAGATTATTTGTGATATCCCTTTCCTGCCAAAATAAATCTGTCTGATTTACCATTAAAAAAAATTAAACTGCACAAAGGTTTGTTTTTTGAAGCATGTTTTATTCTTAAAGTGTTCAGAGACTACATAACCTCAGGGGACACTAGGAAAAGGATGCCCAACAAGTTTCTCAGGTCATTGATGGAGCTTATGGTTGAGCTCCATGACTGGTTTTCTCCACCCCTGCCTTTCTTTCAGGTGCACAGTTCTGAACGTTTTTGGGCAATCTTTTTTGTTAATTTCATTGTAGCTCTTGGATCAGTATCAAAAACAATGCCAGGGCATATAATCAAGAATGATCTTTCAACTTTCTGCTTGGAACCGAAACAAATGTTATACTGTGGCCTTTGACAATTCGAATTGTTTCTGATTATAGAAATACTATATATTGCTGAATTTCAAATTAAAAGGTTAATGTATTTTATATTTGTAATTATATCAAAGAAAATCTGAAGTTACTCATTTTTTATTTTCTTTATCTCCCTTTTCCCTTTAGCCCTTGCAATTTGTTCATCTCTATTTTTTCCTAATATTTTTGTCCTTTTTTAATATCTTTTTTTTTTTTAGAAATTAAATTTAAAAAATTACCTTGCAGCTGTACAATCAGACATGACTGGGTGTTTATAACAAAGCTGTGCTTGTCCTAGTCTCTGGGATTGAATACCCAGAATTTCTGCCAGTACAGTTAAAAGGTTCCGCAATGGACTCCTTTTGAATGAATTTCTGTTTAATTCTTTAGGGGAATGTGCCGCTGAAGGACCTGAACACGCGTCCTATGGAAGTGTTCATGTGCAGTATACTGAAGAGGCAAGGCTACGGTGAAGGTTTTCGTTGGCTGTCACAGTACATTGACTGATTACTGGGGAGACAGATCTATTCCTGGACTGATCCTGTTCACAAATTCCTTATGGACTTTTCTATTGGAACATGGAAGACTCTCCATCTGCATACTGGCAACGACCAAGAGACTCCTTTCTTCAGTTACCCTACATCACAGTGGTGATACGATTCTTTTCCCTGTGTCTGGGAGACAACATTCTGTACACTGGTGCAGGTTGTCCCTTCCAGCGGCCATTGATTCCTATGGAAACCATGGCTCTTTTCAGTTACCAATGGGATGAGCGAGCTGGAATGCCAAGCTCTGTGCACGGCACTCTTTGTGGCTGGAAAAGAGGACCTGTCTCACCACTGTGCCCAATTGATTTCAAAGAAAGCAACTATATTTTTTAAAAGGAAGTGTTTGATGTAAATGGCGTCCCTTTAGATTTTCTTAAGTTTAACCTTCATCCTGTTCAGGCCAGAGTCTGTTAGGATTTTTTTTTTTTTAAGAAAAAAAAATCTACTTAATGGTATTTAGGCGGTTCCCAAATGACCGAACCAGCTATCATGATATTCAAAATCTTTAGCAAACGAGAGAGGTGGCTTTCATAGCCCCTGTAAGGTGGTTGCGCTGTCACATTGCTCAATCATGAAGATAGTGCTATTGGGACTGACTTGTGCAATGGTTTTTCTTTAACTTACAGGGAATTTCGTGTGGGGGTGGGAGATGGAGTACACACCGAGGCACACTTCTTTAGCCTTCCTTGTCATGTGCAGGAGTCTGAAATGTGGTTGACCCCTTTTTGTCCACCTCTAAAGGTTACAATCACTTTCCTTATTGGCAGTCTTTTTTTATTTCTTCTTCTTCCTCTTTGCAGCACCAGCATAAAGTTTGTCTTGGACCTACAATACACGATGTTCTACATTGCAGGCAACTGCAAAAACACACACACATACACACACAAAAGACCGTAGAAATCATGAGTTTATTTTTGGGGGGAGGGGTGGTTATTGTGGCATTAAATTGTTCCAACAAGCACGTATCAAATGCTGTTACTGTAAACTAACCCTGTTTCTTTTACACTCAACAGAGCTTGTGTTTGAATTTTCATGACTTGCCTAGACATTTTAATTTTCACTTAAAAATAGGCATTCTTCTTGGCTGGAGCGTGAAGATGCTTTTAATTAAAACTATTTAGTGCTCGTGGACAGGCTTGCTTTGGTGAATGCAGGGAACCCCATGTCTGAAGTCACTGGCTTTCTGACTCGCATTGGAAAACATGAAATGCAAAATGCAAAAACATGAAATGCAAAATAAGCACTTAACTCCGTGGAAGGATAACACTATAGGTATGTTCATTTAAATCGGGGTGAGGGAACTATGGTCCTTTTATGACTGGTAGACTTCAACTCCCAGGGTTCCTGAGGCAGCCATGCTGGCCCAGGAATTCTGGGAGTTGAAGTCTTCTAGTTATAAAGGCGCCAGTTCCCCACCTCTAATTACATGCAAGTTGTGGTTTAGTGTCTTTCATCGTAGCATCAACGTCACTGAGAGGGGAAAAAGTGAATCATTAACATTTGGAAATCCTCCTGTGATTTTGGACATCAGTTTTAATAACTTCTAAATTGCCAGTTTCACCCAGTGCATTGGCAGGTCAGAATGCATTGGTCTTTACCTAAAATTACTAACATTTCAGGTAAAAACTCATGGAGCCTTCTGAAGTATGTAGTGCAGATATCAGGATAAATATTTTACTTTTCTGACTATTTTACAAATATGAAAAGGGCTGACTATTTTACAAATATGAAGCATCTTAAAACTGTACAGGTTGAAAGAGTCCAGCTTGCAATTCCAGAGGTAATTTAAGACATAATTCCATTGGAAGAGCTATGATGGAGTAGCCAGTTCCTGAAAGATGATAATTGGGGAAGAGTCCATTTTAATTAACCAGGCTCTTTTCTGATGTGGTTATTCTTGAACTATTTGCAGTATCTTCATCGAAATATTACAGCATCTTTGTTGAGTTCATTTGTGGTTTATAACACCTTTGGGTTTTATGTAAGAAGCTTTTTGATGACTTGTGAATATTTCCTAGGCCAAAGTGCCTGTGCATATGGTGCCAAGGAGATGTGGAAAATTATAACTGTACATGAGTCCACGAAAAAAAACTTGTTTGGGTGCAAATAATGTATCATCTGCTCCATTGAACAGCTGTAATTCTCTTAATGTTTGTTCGATCAAGGAATATGGATGAATGGCTCACCTTGGATCAACATGAGATGTGATAACTCTGATCTTCGACTACACGCTTAAAAAAAAAAGAAGGCCCTGATAAGCAGAGCTATAAGATGGTGCCCAAAGGAACAACTTCTATGAAAGTGGCTCCAGCCACTGGAGAAATCAGTTGTGTATGGCTCTGATCAATTTTCTGCCTGCTGTGTTCTGTCTTTGGACATGTCTCCTTGCAATGTCTGCATATAAAGTTTAATATATTCCTTAGGAACTGGGTTACAGATTGGAAACTAGAGTCAACATCATTCTGTTAGCAAAGTGTTTTAACTTCCAATTTCTGGAAATGAGAAGCATGTTTGCAGAGACGGTTTGTCTGTATCCAAAACATTTTAATAAAAGGTTTTTTTTAAAAAAAAATTATATACATATACTTGGATTGAATCTGGCCCTAACATAATCCAGGGGCAGATGTTATAGAAGGTATCCATGTCCTGGGCCACAAAGACATTCTTGACAAATGTTGAATTGGGAGTGAATCATTTGATATCTTTTCATAAGTAAATTAAGTAATTAAAAAAATACAGCTTCTAGTAACTGAACACATTGAGGATCATAGTGAGAGATTTGCCGTTACAGAAGATCTACATGATGGAGAGGAAAAGGATACCTGTTAAATTGAAAACTAACTGCTAGATTGCTATAGTTTAATAAATTTGTGACAGCATAAACAATATATGAGAATAATGTTCCTATACTCACCGTCTTTGCTGTAGCTTGAGTACTGAGCTTCAGCAAATGAGAACTGGTGATATCTGTTTTATGCAAGTCATCAGAATGCACCCATCAGGAAGGCTGCTTATCCAATTCTTGAAGAATTGGGAGTCAGGGCTTCCATTCATATGGATAGCTTCAGTTAGTGACTTGTAGATTTCCCTCTCAATTTTACACTCCTTTCGTAGCTAATCTGAGAGCAACTTCCAAAAAAGGTTTGGAAAAATGGAACAAAAAGCTGAAAACTCAATCCCCAGTGGTGGATTTTGGCTGTCTATATTCTGTGGTCTGGCCCATACCCAATGCTCTGGAGGTGGTCTTTAAAATGTGAGTTTAATTTCCTCTTGTATTAGCATTTAGCATCTGTGGGCACAGAGCATTTTAATAAATGCTGTGGATGAAAACAAGTGTAGGAAAGAGGAAGGACAGGAGATACTAGATACCAAAATGAGGAACAATGAAGAAGGAGAGGGGGAAAAAAGTGTTTTTTTCAGTAGAAAAGGAAAGCGTTCAAGCAAAGACATACTTTCATATGTTCAAATAGGAAGGAAAATCAGTCCTGGTCAAGAAACAGCTAAAGGACAGCTCTCCATCCCCCACTGCAATGTAATAAAGGAAATGTCTCCATTCTCTGTCTTAAAAAGTACAATGGTAGTTCCAGGCACAGAGCCAAGTCTTAGAGAATTAAAGATTTAACTTGTGTTGGTAAGTTAGGTTGTGCAATAGGGATTCTAGATCTAAACCCTTTTCTGGGAAACACAATGAATAATTTCAGGTCACCTGATTTGGTCTTTGAGGCCTGGAAATATTCCAGGTCCTGACCTGGATTAGAGTCCAAGTTTTTTTTATTTATTAGATTTGTGTGCCGACTGTCTCATCTAGAGGCATTATGGGCACTTCAGCTGGCACACTCCATACGTAGCTCTGATTTGGACACACTTTAATTTTTCAAAGGGGGCAAAACCAGTCCAGATGAATGTTGCCATCAGAGAACGAGGAGTGCCGTTAAACAAGAGATGAAGGAATAGCCCTATTCCTTCCCAACAACAACCCCCCCCCCACAAGCATTCCAGGTTTTCTACATTCTAGTTACTTGAATACTATATGGATAGTGAGTATTTGAAGGGAAGTAAGACAGGATTTAGCTGTGCCACCAATTATCTCTCAATGCACACACACAGAGAGAGGATGGAAATTATGGGACTCAGGCCTTGTCAGGCACTAAAAACCAGGACTGCACCTGAAGTTTTAATTAAACTGATTTATTACTACTCATGCCTAAGCGGTGGAATTTACTAAACTAACAGCTCTACTTTACCATTAGGTAAGGTTCAACAGAATTCAAGAGGGGTTGGACTTCATCCATTTGTGGCTACATAGTGACTCTAGGCTGATTCCTCTTTTGACTCTGCCCCCCCTAGGTCTTTCCACTCCTACACACTTGCTCTAACTTAAAGCTTCCCTTTTAGCCCACGGGTGTCCAACCTGCCGTGTCACGCTGTTGCGTCATGTTTTGCGATGTTTTTTCTCTTCATGGAGCTGGGGTAGGTGTGGCCTGCAGGTGATCCATCCGGCCTGCAGGCCGCCAGTTTTGACACCCGTGCAGTTTAGCCCTTTCTTGATTGGTTACCCTTTGAACAGACACAAAGCCAGCACATTTCAAGCCTGGTTCTGGTTTTTGAACTTTCTTTCAAAAAAACAAAAATACATGCATTTCTATTTAAGCTAAAAAAACAAAACAAAAACCGCAAAGATGCCTTGAAAGTAAGCTTGATTCACAGACAAATCTGTATGATTTTCTTTTTTCTTTTAATAAAAGTTTTATTTAAGTTTTCACAAAACATACAAATACAAATTCAAGTTCATCTTGTCAACTGATAAAAATCTTCCATGTTTCTTTTTAGTTTTTTTAAACTTTATTTTTAAATCATTGAGAGCCTTATTTTACAAACAAATATTCCACTACACATCAATATAATTTTTTCTATCACTTTAATCATCTAACATTTTCTAACCCTTTTCTATTTCTAATATAACAATGCTATCTCATGCACCCTTGCAGAATCCTCTCCTTAAGTTAAATTTTAACCATTGTCTCTGTGTCTTTTAAATAGGTTTATACCTTTAATTCTTGTACGCTTTTCCTGTACTTCTATAGCTTCTTTTCCTTTCCCTCTTCCCTCTCTTCTTCTCCCTCCCCTTTTAATTCCCTTTTCTATCTGATTCTCCCTTCTGTGATCCTCCCTTCTGCTTCTTCCTGATATTATGATTACTTTTCAAATTACTCTTTTTTTGGTTGTTGCTTCAGTGGTTAAGTTTTTAGCTCCCTTTCCCCCCTTTCTCTTTTTTACCCCGCTTAAAATTGCTTGGTCATTAAAGATGGCTTCTTCATTGTCCCTCCCTTCTTGTTCTGCCAGCGTTTCTTGTTCTTTTTCATAGTTCAAGATCTCCATTTCTAAAAATTGAAATACGAAGCCAAAAGATCCTCTTCCATCTTGTGCTTCTTCTTTTTGTTCTTTAAGTCTCATTTTTAACTCTTCAAGGAGTGATGCCATTTTTTTAAAAAAATTAAACAACCCCCAATTGATTTTATTTTGTTTCATTAGGATTCTCCATCCAAAGTTCCAGGAGTCATCCAATAATCCTTGCTTCTTTTCTTGCTTCTTTTCTCACTTTCTCTTTTGAGGGGCTTTGTTATCTTGTAACAAAGTTTCAGCTACAATGTATCTTTTGCAAGCCTTGTTAAAATTCCACTATTGATTTTTTAAGTTCCAGGTGGTCTCCTCCATTTTCCAGATTCCACCCTCTTTTTTCCTTTTTCCCTCCACTGCTTTCTTTCTTTTTTTAAATAAAATTTTTAAATTATCCAAGAATCTTTATCCCTTTGACACTTTGTTTTCAGCTAGAAATAGCCTATTAATGTCCAAGTGGATTAGTATC